AATAAAGCTCTGTTATATGAGAACGCTAATAGAAAGCATTCATGGGTTATCAAGATTTGCTCTAATAATTTTAAACAAAACATCCCAAATTGGTTTTGTAAATGGTGGACTTTATATGGTCCCACAATAAATATTCTTCGTGAGAATTATAAACGATTATATGCAGAATGGGTGGATATATTCCCCAAGATCTTACAATTACAAAAAGATGATATTTATTTTAAAGGGATTTCAATAATGTATTTCTTTATAGAATTTTCAATTCCATGGATAATGAAATGGACAGTTGAAGTCCAAACAGATGGACAAGAATTTCCTTGCCTCAAGAGGAAATTTCTTACAAAGTTTTGGAGTAAACTACTCCACAAAAATCCAGAAGGATAATTACATGGACAGGAGATAATAGACTCCATTAACATTTCCATTGAAAAAGGTAATAACCAGAATGGTTCATCAACAGATAGGGAAGATACAAGTCCCTTTAAGCAGATTTGCCGAAAAATCCAGATGAAGGGAGGAGTCATATCCAAGTCTGAAATTCTAGCTTCTTATATGGAGGAGGTAAAAAGAGACTTAATAAAGCATTTGGGAAAAAATATCCCGAAAAAAGTTACAGATAATATGTCAGTTTCTACTTCAAATGAAGATGAATGTCTAGCCGGGGAATCCCAAGACGAAGACGAAATGGACATCGAAGAATTCCAGCAGCAATTCAGCAGTCAGGTGGAAGAATCTTCCAGTTCAAAAAATGACAAAGGCAAAGGAATAGCAAAAGAATAAAAACGTCAAAAAGATAATAATTAATTAACTTTTATAAAAGTAGTAGGTCCCAATGTCGGTCATCACTAATGCGCATGATGTAAGCGCTTAAGTCATTTATTTTGTTATTTTCCGTGATCCTTCTCTATAAAAGGATCCTTCTTTCTTAGTTGGAGGCAGGCATTAGCCCCCAGCATATTTCTCTCTTAAAGCTTATATCTCTTGTAAATTTTTAGTGTGGAATAAAATCTCCAGCAGTTGTGCATAAAAGATAATCATAAGGTATATTATTTTATATCTGTAATTTCTAAATTTATTTATTTATTTTGTTGTTTGCTTACGCCTAAATGATAGGCTAAACTTTTACTGACGGATTTATATCGTCCTAAACTATGAACAATATGGTAAGTCTTGAACTGTTCCGATGTTTCTAAGGTCGAAATAGTACAGTTTAAAGATAAAAAATCTTGGCTTAGCCGGAGTTCCTGTTCAGGCCCATGTTAAGCCGTTGAGTGAGGCGTTGTTTGGGCTATAC